TAAGAATAAAGAACTTCTGAAACTAGTGAAGCTAGCACAACTAAGAGTGTTGAGGTTTATGTGTTGGATTCATATGAAATCCTGCAAAGTATAAATTCATGAATTTATAAATCATGAATTTGGAGGAGTTACTGTATTGTATTGCATGTATATCATCTTGATATGTAATTCATAAGTAGACTGAATGATTTGTTACTGGATAGACAAAGAAACCCTAAATACAAAGATGAAGACATTAATTTGACTAAGAATCTCTGTACAAAAGTTACAAATCAAATAGTCTTACTTAGCTTCTGCAGTTTTTCTGAATACAGTTGTGTATACTACAAGTCATAAATGCATTATATCACTTTGAATTGTGGTATCACTATATTTTTTATTTATTTATGTTTTTTTAACAAGTCAGCCGTCTCCCACCGAGGCAGGGTGACCCAAAAAGAAAGAAAAAATCCCCAAAAAGAAAATACTTTCGTCGTCATTCAACACTTTCACCTCACTCACACATAATCACTGTTTTTGCAGAGGTGCTCAGAATACAACAGTTTAGAAGCATATACGTATAAAGATACACAACATATTCCTCCAAACTGCCAATATCCCAAACCCCTCCTTTAAGGTGCAGGCATTGTAGTACTTCTCATTTCCAGGACTCAACTCCGGCTATATAAAAATAATAGGTTTCCCTAAATCCCTTGACTAAATATTACCCTGCTCACACTCCAACAGCTCATCAGGTCACAATACCATTCGTCTCGATTCACTCCTATCTAACATGCTCACGCACGCTGGAAGTCCAAGCCCCTCGCCCACAAAGCCTCCTTTACCCCCTCCATCCAACCTTTTCGAGGACAACCCCTACCCCGCCTACCTTCCCCTACAGATTTATACACTCTCCATGTCATTCTACTTTGATCCATTCTCTCTAAATGACCAACCACCTCAACAACCTATCTTCAGCCCTCTGACTAATAATTTTATTAACTCCACACCTTCTCCTAATTTCCACACACTGAGTTTTCTGCATAATATTTACACCACACATTGCTCGTAGACAGGACATCTCAACTGCCTCCAACCACCACCCCCTCGCTGCAGCATTTACAGCCCAAGCTTCACACCCATGTAAAAGTGTTGGTACTACTATACTTTAATACATTCCCTTTTTTGCCTCCATAGATAACGTTTTTTGTCTCCACATATACCTCAGCGCACCACTCACCTTTTTTCCTTCCTCAATTCTATGATTAACCTCATCCTTCATAAATCCATCCGCTGACATGTCAACTCCCAAATACATGTATCTGAAAACATTCACTTCTTCCATACTCTTCCTCCCCAATTTGATATCCAATTTTTCTTTTTTTAAATAATTTGATACCCTCATCACCTTACTCTTTTCTATGTTCGCTTTCAACTTTCTACCCTTACACACACTCCCAAACTCGTCCACTAACCTTTGCAATTTTTCTTTAGAATCTCCCATAAGCACAGTATCATCAGCAAAAAGTAACTGTGTCAATTCCCATTTTGTATTTGATTCCCCATAATTTAATCCCACCCCTCTCCCGAACACCCTAGCATTTACTTCTTTTATAACCCCATCTATAAATATATTAAACAACCATGGTGACATTACACATTCCTGTCTAAGACCTACTTTTACTGGGAAGTAGTCTCCCTCTCTTCTTCACACCCTAACCTGAACTTCACTATCCTCATAAAAACTCTTTACAGCATTTAGTAACTTACCACCTATTCCATATACTTGCAACATCTGCCACATTGCTCCCCTATCCACTCTGTCATATGCCTTTTCTAAATCCATTATTGCAATAAAAACTTCCCTACCTTTATCTAAATACTGTTCACATATATGCTTCAATGTAAACACTTGATCTGCACATCCCCTACCCACTCTAAAACCTCCTTGCTCATCCGCAATCCTACATTCTGTCTTATCTCTAATTCTTTCAATAATAACCCTACTGTACACTTTCCCTGGTATACTCAGTAAACTTATTCCTCTATAATTTTTACAATCTCGTTTGTCCCCCTTCCCTGTATATAAAGGGACTATACATGCTCTCTGCCAATCCCTAGGTACCTTCCCCTCTTTCATACATTTATTAAACAAAAATACCAACCTCTCCAACACTGTATCCCCTCCTGCTTTTAACATTTTAGCCATGATCCTGTCAGTTCCAGCTGCTTTACCCCCTTTCATTCTACTCTACGTAATGCTTCACACACCTCCCCCACACTCACATCCTGCTCTTCTTCACTCCTAAAAGATGGTATACTTCCCTGGCCAGTGCATGAAATTACCACCTCCCTTTCTTCGTCGACATTTAAAAGTTCCTCAAAATATTCTCGCCATCTACCCAATACCTTCATCTCCCCATCTACTAACTCCCCTACTCTGTTTTTAACTGACAAATCCATTTGTTCCCTAGGCTTTCTTAACTTGTTTAACTCCAAATTTTTTTCTTATTTTCATTAAAATTTCTTGACAGTGCCTCTCCCACTCTATCATCTGCTCTCCTTTTGCGCTCTCACCACTCTCTCCACCTTTCTTTTGCTCTCCATATACTCTACTCTTCTTATAACACTTCTGCTTTGTAAAAACCTCTCATAAGCTACCTTTTTCTCATTTATCACACCCTTTACTTCATCATTCCACCAATCAGTCCTCTTTCCTCTTGCACCCACCCTTCTATAACCACAAACTTCTGCCCCACATTCTAATATTTTACTACATGTAAACAATACAATAACCAAATTCTGTAAACTCAGCATTGTAATCCTTATAGAGAATAAACTTTGAATATTGCATTTTTAAAACCCTTTTCAACCCCCCCCCACCCCACCCCACTACTAATACTTGCACCAGCCCACCTTTCTGCCAATAGTTGCTTATATCTCACCCGAACTTCCTCCTCCCTTTGTTTATTCACTTTCACCTCCCGCTTACTTGTTGTTGCCATTTTCCTCTTGTCCCATCTACCTCTAACTGTAGCTACAACTAAATAATGATCCAATATATCAGTTGCCCCTCTATAAACGTGTACATCCTGGAGCCTACCCATGAACCTTTTGTCTACCAATACATAATCTTACAAACTGCTTTCATTGCATGCTATATCATACCTTGTATATTTATTTATCCTCTTTTTCATGAAATATGTATTACTTATTACCAAGCCTCTTTCTACACATAGCTGAATTAAAGGCTCCCCATTTTCATTTACCCCTGGCACCCCAAATTTACCCACTACTCCCTCCACAACATTTTTACCCACTTTAGCATTGAAATCCCCAACCACAAGTACTGTCACACTTGGTTCAAAACTCTGCACACATTCACTCAACATTTCCCAGAATCTCTCTCCCCTCTACACTTCTCTCTTCTCCAGGTGCATATATGCATACTATAACCCACTTGTCACATCCAACCTTTATTTTACTCCACATTATCTTTGAATTAATGCATTTATAGACCTTCTTTTCCTACCATAGCTTATCCTTCAACATTATTGCTCCTCCTTATTTAGCTCTAACTCTATTTGAAACCCCTGACCTAATCCCATTTATTCCTCTCCACTGAAACTTTCCCACCCCCTTCAGCTTTGTTTCACTTAAAGCCAGGACATCCAGCTTCTTGTCATTCATAACATCCACAATCATCTCTTTCTTATCATTCACACAACATCCATGCACATTCAGACATCCCACTTTGACAGTTTTCTTCTTATTATTCTTTTTAGTAATTATTACAGGAAAAGGAGTCACTAGCCCATTGTTCTCGGCATTTTAGTTGACTTTTACAACATGCATGGCTTACGGAGGAAAGATTCTTATTCCGCTTCCCCATGGATATAAAAGGAAAAGTAATAAAAACAAGAACTAATAAGATAAAATCAAAGGAAGCTCAGATGAGTGTGTATAAATAAACGTGTACACGTATGTGTAGAGTGACCTAAGTGTAAGTAGATGTAGCAAGACGTACCTGTAATCTTGCATATTTATGAGACAGACAAAAGATACCAGCAATCCTACCATCATGTAAAACAATTACAGGCTTTCATTTTACACTCACTTGAGAGGACAGTAGTACCTCCCTGGGTGGTTGCTGTCTACCAACCTACTACTATGGCATTGAAATTTAATACAAAACTCAGATGTTCTGAAAATGTGCATCTGATAAGACATGTATGATAGCAAGAGATAAGACATAATGAAAACCTGGAAATTCACTTCAGCAGGTTAGCAAAGATAAAATTATATGTAAGAGTAAGAAATATAAAGGTGGAGATAGAACAGAAAGTACAGGCTGTGTATGGGAAATTGTCAATATTGTGAGGATTTATTAAATGCAACAGAAAGAAAGTTATACTGTTTAACACTTAAATTGTGATTGTGCACTACTAAAACCTAGAAAAAATATTTTCAAAGAGTAGAGGGTATGATTTGTATATATGAAAGAGTTTGAGTATGAGGAGTATGGGCGAATATGTTTAATGTGTGTGAGTAATATGTGGTATGGATTTAAAATTGTATTTTCTCAGGAAAGAATGAACACATGACTTCATTGTAGCTCTTGACACAGAAAACTTCATATATACCTACTTGTAATCCATGAATTACCTGAAATACTACAGTGGATGAAATTCTAGTGGAACTGTATTGGTTTTCTGTGATGCTATTGGGTAAGGAAGGTTGGATGCCACTGCATACTTTTCTGCCCATTTAAGACAGGTTCTTTCTCTGTCATGAAGAGTGGTGAGCAGATTAGTAAAGGTGATATGATCTGTGGAGCAAATTTTGAATGAGTGTGAGTGAGTTAAAGAGTAGAGTGTAATTATATAGATTTATATACATGGGGATGAACAGACCTGTTTAAATAGATTGATAATTTGTTAAGGAACAAAGACATTATTTAAATTTAAAGTTATACAGTAGTAACCAAATCTTTTGTATGACTCCTCCTATTTTATCTACAGCAAGTGTATAGAGACCATCACTTCAATCAGCACACATATTACAGTGTTACGTACTGCAATCATTGTGGTCTCATTATCTGGGGTATTGCTCCACAAGGTTACCAGTGTACGAGTGAGTATCTTTTTTTTTTTTCCCCTCTTATGACAATCTCTCCGTTGTAAATTGGTATTTTAGCCCTACTGATGTGCAGTGGATTGTGTAAGCTATTATTTCTTATAAGTATGTAAATTAATATTTAAGGTATAGACAAATACAGATACATGGAGTACTTGATTTATGCTTCTAACTCGTTCCTAAAAAAATTAAGTGTAATTTGAATCCACATTATAAAGAGTACTTTGTCTGTAGACTTAAAATTATAAATTAGGGGTCTGTCCAGGCAGACCTCAGGAAACTGTTTTCATAATTTAGAGAGAGAGAGATCATTCTTTTTTAGAGCAAGTGAGAGGGCTAGCAGGTAAGTGGATGAGAGGGCTGCTCTGTTACTTTGCCAGTTTCTTAATAAAAATTTTAACCATGCCTAACAAGAGGAAGTCTGATGCTGGACCATCTAACATAGCTATGCACAATGGATTTATATTGAGGTGAGACAGAAGTAAAATACAAATGACATAAGTTGATGATAAAGTATGTGATGTAAGGTGATTATAAGCTTAAGAGATTTGTAAGACCTATCCCAAATTAACTTAAAATCATTTTGTTCAAGTAACTTCCAGTATTTGTCATTGCCTCATGCCACTTACATTTGACCTATCTATGTAGTATACAGCATAATCCTTATGTACTCAGGTTAGATGCTCTTGCACTAGGCATTATTTTTGTTGGACATGCTTGCCTGTTTACCATAGTTTTTTTTTGCAGAAATATCAATAGTGCAGCTTTAGCATGTTCTCTTACTTACTTGCCAGAATTTTCATAGTGTACTCACAGATAAATGACAGTATGAGTGTAGTATGGGTCATAAATTAAGAAGAGTGTAATAGCAGATGAGCATAATGTGAGTACTCCCTGTATCCTGTTTGGTAATGTAAAAAATATATTGGCATGCAAAGTAGTGACTGAAAAAAATATTTTAGAAATGCAAATTTAATCTCATAGTTTGAAATAACTGAAGTCAGTTTCCAGTATACAGAATAATAGGCCAAATTTCTAAATGACAGGTGACATAAAAAGAAGCAGGAGTTTTTGGTAACACTGTAAAAACCTTCTTCTTCTTCTTCTTCTTCTTCTTCTTCTTCTTCTTCTTCTTCTTCTTCTTCTTCTTCTTCTTCTTCTCTCTTCTTCTTCTTCTTCTTCTTCTTCTTCTTCTTCTTCTTCTTCTTCTTCTTCTTCTTCTTCTTCTTCTTCTTCTTCTTCTTCTTCTTCTTCTTCTTCTTCTTCTCTTCTTCTTCTTTCTTCTTCTTCTTCTTCTTCTTCTTCTTCTTCTTCTTCTTTCTTCTTCTTCTTCTTCTTCTTCTTCTTTCTTAAGCAGCTTTCTAGGTGCTTCTTTAAATTACAAGATGTCATTGCACTTTTACAGAGCAAACTCTGTATTTTACAGCTAAAACACAAGTCCAGCTAACAGTTTCAAAACCCTACAATATTTTTCACATATCTTTCAACCTTCTGATATCTTCTAAACCAGGGGTTCCCAACCTGGGGTGCATGTACCCTAAGGGTGTGCGAGATGGTATTTTAGGGGGTGCAACAAATATTCCTAATGAAAAACACCATTCTGTTAATTTTACCAAAATGTTTCCTAATTGCTCAATTTGTATTTGAGCAAGTTATATCAAATGTGACATTATTTTGTAGGGGGTGCAACATTAACCCCTTCACTGTTGCAACCCCAAATCCTGAGGTGGCTCCTGGTGTTGCAAAATTCCCCCTCCCCCCTCCCCCCCAAATTATTTTTTCTAATGAAATGATAGAGAATCTTTTTCCATATGTAACGATACCAAAAGAACGAAATTTGATGGAAAACTCACGGAATTACGCTCTCACAAAGTTAGCGACCTCGGCGATATTTATGAATCAGCGATTTCACCTACTTTGAGCCTTATTTTCGGCTAATTCCATTGTTCCAGTTGACCAAACTCATAGCTATTTCTTTAGAACTCCATTAGTTCTATCAATTGACTACAGGAAACTGCCCATTTACCAATTTCAACTACCCAATAACGTGGTCAGGAATTTGCAATTTGGCCACTCACGAAAATTAAAAAATATGACAATTTCAAAATAGGGTCCAGAATGAACAATGCAGACATATCTGGCTCTAAAATAACATTTTCTTTGTTCATCAGTCAAGTCTCCAGGCCCCTCTGACATTACTCTTGCTTTCTATTTTGAATTTTTATTCAAACAAAAAATAGAAGATTTACTGTTATGCAGACTACTGCAATATTGTAATAATTGTATAAATAATGTTAACCCATTTATGACTGCATATTAGAATGGCTACTTGGACATTTATTGGAAAATGATTATCATTTGTTTACTTTGAACATCGGCAAAAATCAAACATTTTCCCTACTTTGAGGTCCATTTCAAGGTTCTTTTCATAGTAAAACCAATCAAAGTCACCTCTATTTCTGTAATATGTTTTCCATTCTATCAAATGAGACCAAGAAAATGAGACTACACCCATAAATACTATGTGAAAATAGACCATAAATTCAGCATTTTAATTTAAAAAAAAAGTCGAAGTTTTTTTTTCTCATTATGTGCTGCGTGCTGCAGGATTTTTTTATATGGTGCACACTGACCACACGGATTCATTCTTTCACATGTGGGCCTACCAGCTTTCTCCTGCTCGATTTGAAGCCGCTAGAATTATTGAGTATATATACACGTGTACGTCTGAAACACTGGCTCGTAAGACGTATATATATACAGCCGAAACAGTCAAAGGGTTAACCCTTTCAGGGTCGGAACCCATGCTCTCAGATTTGCTCTCAGGGTCGGATAATTTAAAAAGAAAAGTTGTTTTTATTATGAAATGTAGGGATCTTTTTCTGAAAGTAAAAAAAAAAAAAGTACCAAATTTGATGGAAAACTAATGAAATTACGCTTTTGAGAATTTTGCTGTGTCAGCGATATTTGAACATCAGTGATTTTGCCCACTTTGAGTGACTTTAGGCCAAATACATTATTCAAGTTGACCAAATTCTTAGCTGTTTCACTAGTATGCCTTCCATTTTATCAATTGAGTACAAGAAACTGCCAATTCAACTATTTCAACTACCCAGTAGAATCATTAGAAATTGGTAATTTGGCCAATTTCACATAAAATTCAAGAAATGCCAATTTCAAAATAGGGTCCAGAATAAACAGTGCATACATTCCTGGCACTAAAATAACATTTCTGGTGTTCATTAGTTACCTCCCCACGCCTCACCAGTATTAGACATGAATTCCATTTAGAATTTTATTCACCAAAAAAAAAAAAATAGAAAATTTACTGTTATGCAGACTAGTGTATTATTGTAATAATTGCATAAATAATGTCAGTGCATTACTAAAAAACATATTAGACTGGACTAGTACCGAACTTGCACACGAAAATCACTCACTACGAAAGCAAAAGACTTGGCAGACGATGCAACATCCCCCCAATGAAAAGCAGGGGTGTCACTAGCACGTTAAGAGACCATACAATAAGTGTCAGGGGCCCGAGACTGTTTAACTGCCTCCCAGCATACATAAGGGGGATTACCAACAGACCCCTGGCAGTCTTCAAGCTGGCACTGGACAAGCACCTAAAGTCGGTTCCTGACCAGCCGGGCTGTGGCTCGTACGTTGGTTTGCGTGCAGCCAGCAGTAACAGCCTGGTTGACCAGGCTCTGATCCACCAGGAGGTCTGGTCACAGACCGGGCCGCGGGGGCGTTGACCCCCGGAACTCTCTCCAGGTAAACTCCAGGACAGAGGGATACTTATTCAACAAGTGATGTCATATGTGTATTCTGGAATATCAGCAAAAATAAAACATTTCCTCTACTTTGAGCTCACTTTCAGCTTCTTTCATTCCTGAAACCACTCAGAAACATGTCTATGAATGGAAGATATATTCATGTATTCATCTGACGTTTAATCCAGGTTTTTATGTGCTTATGATTATTGCTTTAAAGTCTGTGGTAGAGTTGAATGGTGCACTGTTTTCTTTCTCATATGTTATGGCTAAGCTATTGGATAGTATACAAGAGTGTCCAGGAGCTCAATCATGTTGTGAATATTGCCAGGGTCTAGTAGGCTCTAATGTTATACAGTGGACAACCACCTTTCGTATGAGATACGTTTCAGAAAAACAGAGCTATATTCGAAGATGCAATAGATGGCGTGAACAATTTTTGAAAATAATAGGTTATGGTCTCTGCCATCTCTAGAAAAGCCAAGTAGCCTGAATACAGTGTGAATACACTTAAATTTTGGGTGTTTTTGCTGAAATAGCTTGATGTCAGGAAAGAAGCTTGGTGTGGCCCTACTGGACCTTAGATAAGGAGGCTGTGGTGGATGAAGTAGAGGGCTTGGGTTCATGGGCTGAAGTTGATGGCAGGGGTTTGCTGGCTAAAGTGGATGGCTGGAGTGTGTGGACTGAGGTCAAGGCAGAGCTGTTACTTAAGGGAACTCTGGAGTATTTTGTGTGTGTCTGGTGTGTATTACCCAGCAATACTTTAAATGGCTGATGTTAGTGCATCATTGTTTGGTCGGGTATCCATGTCAGAGCACTGCTTCTAGAAATGTCAGGGTCCTCTTCATTGTAAAAGTCTGCAAGTTTAGCAGTAACGTGAAACTACTCATATAATTGTTAAAGTGTTTAATATTTCTCTCTAGGCTCTTCTTCCTCATCCTCTTCACTTCTGAGTTCCTTTCCTCTGGGAATTTGGCTCTGCCAACATTTCCTCTGAACTTCTTTCTTCCTTATCATCTGATAGTTCATTGATGTCTTCTAGCTGCATATCTTCAAAGTCCTCACCTGACATCTCCTTGTCAGCTGAAAAGTTTTGTCAATTTAGCTCTCAACTGAATAAAATCCTGTGAAATTATTCACCATGTTAGGCCATGATTTTCCCCAGCCTGCATTTATTGTTGATTTGGGCACATTGTCTCATGCAGCTTTGACATTAGGTAA